TGGGAAACCTATTAGGTTTTTTTTCATCAGAACAACTTCAGGTTGAAACTTCCTTCTCTATTTCCTTTAACACCACAAACCAAGTGCCAACTTCCACATGTGAAGAAAGCGGTAGTTTCTTTCTAAAAAAGGATGATCCTGATTTACGCTTTTATTTTGGCAATTTTTGTGTGTGTTAAATATGGATATATTATTATGGAATGGTTTTTAGAAAATATTTTTTTCTCCACTGTTTAGTTGTTTGAAGTGATCTCTTTTCTATCTTATTAAAAAAAAATGGTTAAAACAATATACACAGCTCTCCAGTGGAATTCTGTATGTAAACTTAAATTACACTGGGGACTATTGTTATGGAAATACTAATTTTGGGAGTAAAGTTTCCTGGGAATGGAATTGTTCTGCTGGAATTCTTAGGGCCTTTGAGCAGCAGTTTATGGGGTAAATATTACTAGAAAATTTTTGTGCTGAGAGATGGTGTGAATAGGAGTTTTGTCCCTGGGAAGGCTGTTTGCCTCTGTAGATGAAACTCTGCTTGGGTAGGTCACTGGACTGAAATTTTGAGCTTACCTCTCCTGAGACACCTTGATGAAATAATGTGGACTGAAAATCCTTTAAATTCAAGGAAGAAGCCCTTCTCAAAATGCTGTCTCTTCCCCCTGCAGACATTCCATGGGTGTGTGCAGCATTCAGTGCAGTCCCCACCGGGAGAATCTCCTGGCCACAGGCAGGTGAGTCCCTTCCAGCTCTCCCCTGGTGTGCCAGCCCTGGTTGTGCTGCTGCCTCTGCAGAAACTCCATGTGGTGCAGAGCACGTGGCCTTTCCTCCCTCTGTTCTGTGTCCTGACCTGGCTGTGCTTTTCTGCCTGTTTTGTGTCCCCAGCTACGACGAGCACGTGCTGCTGTGGGACACCAGGAACATGAGGCAGCCTCTGGCTGACACCCACGTGGAAGGGGGGGTGTGGAGGCTGAAGTGGCACCCCACGTGTGACTTCGTGCTCCTGGCAGCCTGCATGCAGAGTGGCTTCAAGATCCTGGACTGCCGTGGGAGCCTGGGTGAGTGTCTGGGGACAGAGCTGCCCCAGGGCTGCTCTGCTGTGCTCCTTTGCTGCCCCCAGGGTCATGGGGAGCTCCAGCTCTTGCTGGAAGGACTGAGATGGTGTTAACAGCCATAGGTTCTGTTCCACTTTGAGGCAACTTCCAGCTTTTCCACATCTGAGCACTCTCTTGGCCTGCTTGGTTGTGCCAAGGCCCTGTCACTGTGTGCGTGTAAATCTCTCATAGCTTTTTATCATGGAGGAAAGCCTTTGTGTTTGGTGTGAGGGCACAGCCACTCTGGGTTTGTGTGCATTGTGCTGGTTCAGAGAGGTTCTGACTGTCAGGTGGTGCCTTCCTGTTAGCAGGACTCACTGACCTGCAGGGGAGTCAGTTATTGCCTCAGGAAGGAAGTGCTCTGCAGCCTGGTTAATCCAGAATAACATCAATAAGCCCTTCATGTGAATGATGAGGTTCTTCCATGGTGGAAAAGCTGTTTGCATTCACATCACAAATGCAGTCTGACAGAGGATGGTTGGGTTCCTGGGATCTCCAGACCTTGGGCACATCAACAGCTTAGGAAATGAGGATGGCATTTCTCCTGTGTGGGGAAGGAAGGAACTCACTGTGAGAGTCAAATGCTGCAAGCTGACAGGAAGAACATCTGCAGTGTGTTAATAACCAGGAGCTGGCAATCCCCCAGGTGTGTTCATGGCTCAGTGGAGGTTGTGGTGTGACCAGTCTGGTCTGTCTTGAGCCTTTGTAGGCACTTTGAACAGTGATGCTCTTTTATCTCATGCATGTTAAACCCTCTTCTCCTCTGCTACTGACCCAGGAGGAATCAAGGCCATTGAAAGGTGGCTGAAAAATGTTCAGAACCTCATTCCTCCTGCTTCACTCAGTGGTGAAAAGGCAATAACCAGAGAACTCTTCCCATGAGACACAGCCAGTGCTGGAACAGCTGCTGAGCACTCTGCCACAACCCACAACTTGATTTCTAAGTAATTTCATTTATCTTTTTTCTTTTTCTTCAAGCTGAAAACACAGAGGAATGTATCATCCTGTCATCCTATGTCCTGCACAATTCCTTGGCCTATGGGGCTGACTGGTCAAGGCTGTGTCCAAGGGATTCCTTGCCTGCCAGCCAGGACCTTGCTGCTGTGTGCCAGCCTCAGGAGGAGCTCGTGGCAGCATCAGGGCAAGGAGATGAGAGGCTCAACTTGCAGGTCCAGAACCTGAAGATAATTTATGAGTCTCCCACAGCTACTTTTGATGTAATCCTGGATGAGGAGAGTGAAAGCCCTGCTGTGGCACCCACAGGGGCAGGGCCAAAGCTGGCTGGGGATGCTGGACTGCTCAGGGGCTCTGGTTTAAAGGGAGGTTTGGATTTGGCTGCCCAAGGGGCAGATCCTGGGTCAGTCAGCAGCTCTGACTCAGGAGCCAAGAGAGCCAATGGAGTGGAGCTGGACAGAGGCTGTGACCCAGCCAGGTCTCCAGACAGCCCCAAAGAAATGAGCATTGTGGCCACTTGTTCCTTCTATGACAACATCCTCCATGTCTGGAAGTGGGAGATGAGCCTGGTGACCCCTCCAGATGTGCCAAGTCCCCGATCTCCATCCAAAGGAACAGCTGGAAGTCTGCATTGACCACTCCCAATTGGAAGAGGGGGAAAACTGAACTGAGAGTGAGAGCTGAACTCAATGCCCTGACTTCTGCTGGGCTTTCCCCTCTCACTGCTGAGCCTGGGAGTCCTTCAGGGCCAACACTGATGGGATTCCTGATGTTCTGTTTTCAGCACAGAGGGAGGCCTTTGCTCAGAGGCCTGTGGTCATGGCCAGACAGGTTTATTTAGTTTTTCCCTTCATGTCCCAGTTCCTCTCACAGGCTGCTGCTTTGTACCTCAGATCTGACCCTTCCAAGGCTGGTTTGCATTTCACATTGGATCTGTCAGGCCCCTTCTCCTCCTCCCTCACAAACCAGACTTGTTTGTGCTGCTGTGCAGACCCCTGCAGTGATCAGCAGGGTTCCTGAATGGCTCAGAAAAGCCCCTGGGCAGAGGCTGGGCTGTGTGAGGGAGGAGAGCTCAAGCAGGCCACATGCAGGGCAGTGTGCTCACAGTGATGTTTAACAGAGACAAGCTGTGCTTCAGAAGGAAGTGCAGACTCTGTGTGATGGGAGGTGCTGGGGGATCCTCCTTGTGAGGGTCCTGCTTCTCCATCATTTTCCATCACCCATCACCTGCCTGCAGATTCCTTCATCATTCCCTGAGCACACCCTGGCTCAGGTAAATCCTGTAGTGACCCCACCACGTTTTAGTGCCACTCACCCACCCCCATGGCCTCTCTGTATTCAGCTCATTCTTTCTGCTCTCCACAGAGCCACCTTTAGGTCCAAAGTCAAGCTCAGTTTATAAAAGGTGAACAGCTTTAAGATCAAAACCTCCAAAAAGTATAAGTGGTGTTTCTTGATATCTTTTCAAATTTAAAATAAGTACAGAAACCAAAATCTTAACAGCATTGCCCTAACTACCTCCAGGAATGGCTGCAGGATTTCTCATGGTTGCTCCATCAGCTCTCTTTTTTTCACTGTGAAACATCAGCAAAACCCTTTCTGAAACATTTCTCTACTCCTAGAAACAAAAAACCAGCTTAAACTAGATCAGTAACCTTTAGCATGCATGGTTTGTCTTTGAGGGTCCTAAAGAATGAGTTGTGTGGAGGGAAAGAAACACCAGCAACAGGTCTCTGTGTAACAGTGCTGCAGCTACGTGAGGTGCAGCAGATGAGAACTTTGCTGCTTTGTAACCCCCTTCTCGAGGGTGAATGTGTATTTTAGTAAACATTCTGGAGCACTGTTACATGAAGATTCATATTAGTAATGAAAACAAGAGCTTTTGCTAAAGAAAAAACAAACATGCTATTTTTGGATGTTTCTAAAATAAAGCTGATATAAGCAATTTATCTTGTTTTGGTTGAGTTTTGAAAATCAAGTGATTTGACAGTCCTTGTGAGGACCTCCTGCCCTGGCCTGGGACAGCTGGGGCTCCAAGGGGTGGATATTTGGGAGGCAGAGTGGACGAGCCAGTTTCCTGGGGGAGCCGAGGGTGTGTCCCTGTGTCTGTTTGGAAGGTTGTAATGGCTTTTATTGCCCTGTCGGAGCAGGGAACAGCCCCAGGGCAGCGAAGCTGGAGGGTGACACCCACTGGGCCAGCCCGGTTTGGGCTTTGGGCCAGGCCGGGCTTTGCTCAGAGCAATGAGGAGCCAGTTCCGATCTCCTTCCACGGGGTGTGAGGGGAATGATGGGGTGAAGAGCACGCTGGAATTGGCAGCAAAGGGCAGAGCATTTCCTGCTCTCCAGCCCTGCATCCCCCTGCCAAGTGTCCTGGATGGGCAGCAAGGCTCCCAAGGCTGAAGGGCCACGGCTGCCAACAGCAGCGAGGCAGTAACAGCCACATGTGTGGGACTGGTTCTGACCAGCTCCACAGGAGGGGAAAAATGCAGAGCTCAGTTAGAAAAGCTGTTAGAAAGCCTTCCCCATCCCCAGCCAGCCCACTGTGGCTCATCCCTCTGTCACTGGGGCTGCAGCACCCCCACTCCATCACAGCCCTGCCCAGCCCCGAAATGTGGGGGTTTGAACCCCCCACACCACCCTAAGGACTCATCTGTCAGCTCTTATGACAGCCCTCACAGACCATCCACTGATCTTCCTTCCTTTCTCCCAGAGTGAACGTTTCAGTCTTAATTTAATTTTTGAAGTTTAATTCTTAAACTTTGCAGTACTTTTTATTTAGAAACATGATGGACTCCTGATCCTCAGAACCGCAGAGAGGGCTCTGCTCACCAGGCACAGCTGTCTCCCAGAGCATCACCAGTCACACCGCAGATTTCAATCAGATATTACAGAAAAACAAGGCAGAAGGATTTGCTTTGCTGTCCAGTGACAGAGCCTGTCCCGCGTTGCCCGGCGGTCTCACCGCACGTAGTTCTTGGGGAAGAGCTGGAAGAGCTTGCCCTCCTGCGTGGGCTCGAAGCCGTACTTCTGCAGGTTGTTGGGGTCGAACGTGCCGTCCTTCACGTCCTTCTCGATGCGCGGAGCCACCAGCTGGTCAAAGAGCAGCTTGGCCGTCATGGGCGGCTCGGAGCCCTCGGGGGCGCGGTACGACACGTAGGGCCGCAGCTTGAAGCCCGTCAGGTCGGGCACGACGAACTCGGGCACCATCTCCTTGACGAGGAGGAACTTCTTGTTGCGGGTGAGCACGCCCAGCTTCTTGGCACCGCGGCCCTTGTTATGGCTCCGCGGGCCGCGCTTGCTGGTGAACGGCGACAGGCGGTCGGCACCGCGCACCAGCCCGCGGACCAGCTGGGTCAGCAGCCCCATGCCGGGCACAGGGGGCTCAGCGGGGCTGGAACAGGGCCCTGAGGGCACCGAGGGCTCAGCGGGGCTGGAACCGGGCCCTGAGGGCACCGGGGGCTCAGTGAGCCGGGCCGGTCCCTGAGGGCAGCCGGCAGCTCAGAGAGACCGGAGCGGTCCCTGCGGAATTAGCGAGTCCCGGAGAGCACCCGGGCGGCCCAGCGGAGGCGGAGCCGGTCCCTGCGAGCACCGGGAGCTCCCCGAACGGTGCCGGGGCCGGATTCCCCTCACGGCCCAGAGCGACCCCGCGGCGCTCCCGCCTCCGCACACCCCAACACCATCCGCTCCCATTGGCCGGGCCGCGCCAACCAATCAGCAGTGCCGATACTGCCCGCGCGCCGAACGGCTCCAGGGGGCTTTTCCCGCCAATCAGCAGCGAGCGGCCCGAGGGTGGGCGGGGCCTGGCGCGGCCGCGCCCTCTGGCGGCAGCGGGCGGGGTCTGCGCTCGGCGCCCTTCGCTCCCGGCCCGGGGACTGGGAACGGCGGGGACGGGGACAGAGACAGAGACCGGGGCTGGCACCGGCACCGGCACCGGCACCGCGACCGGCTCCAGCGTGATGGCGGGGGAAGGAGCAGGTGAGAGGGTGCCGGGGATCGCCGGAGCGCGGCGGCGGGACGCGGGCCTGGCGGGCTGGTGCAGCCGCGCGGTGCCCCCGGCGGTGCCGGTGCCCCAGGCCCGGCGGGAGGAGTTGCTGTTGCTGTTGTTGTTGTTGTTGTTGTTGTCTTGCTCGTAGTCCTTGTGCCAAGCTCCAGCCTGGCGGAACCGGGCCGGGAGAGTGACCCCAGTCCAGCCGGGACAGCGAGCCGGGGCTGGCCGGGAGAGCACCCGGGTCCGGCCGGGGGTGCCCATGAGGGTGACCCGCGGTCGGTGCCGGTCCCTGCCCGGGCCGGATGGGGGCTGTTGTCCCCGGGCTGTCCCCGGGCAGGGTCGGTGCTGTCACCAGGCTGTCCCTGAGCTGTCTCCGGGCTGTCCCGGGGCTGTCCCCGGGCAGGGTCAGGGTTGTCCCCGGGCAGGGTCGGGGCCGTGACCAGGCAGGGTCAGTGCTGTCCCCGAACTGTCCCCGGGGCTGTCCCCGGGCAGGGTCGGTGTTGTCCCCGGTCTGTCCCGTCCCGCGGGGCCGCTCCGGTGTTCGCTGTCCGTAGGGACCGGCGCTGGCTCCGGCTCTCCCGCCGGGCACGGGGCTCTCCCGGAGCTCTCTCGGTGTGGAGCGGCTCCCGGGGCGCTCCTGCCGGGATCCCCGGACTGTGAAGGTTCTTCGGGAGAGTCCCGGCCCCCAGCGCTTCACTGCTGGGTTTTATTGCTCAGCACACAGGGAGGATAAAGTTAAAAAGTTATTGTTCCTCTTGTGTTGTTCAAGAGTTTGCATGGGAAGCTGCGGTCATCTCTTAACTCAGTCTTGTCTTTGCTTTTGTCTTTGCTCCTGCCGCTCCTCCAGACATGGATGAAGGGGACAATAACACCAGCCTTCAGGTACAATATGCTTTGATCTTATTTTTGGATTTATTTATTTCCCTGTGAGTTCCCTATTTCCAGAAGCTGAAAGCAGCTGTGCCTAATTTGATAGCATTGGGACCATGCCTTTAGATGCTTTTACTTTGAAAGAGCCTTTCCTGATGGGAGTTTTATCCTTTCAAACTTCTGAGGATTGGTCCCATTTTATTGTGTGTGTGTGTGTGTGTTTTATTTCTTGAACACCATTTATGCTCTGCTTCAAATTCTAAACTGTTCTAATAATACTATGATTTAAATACTAAATTAATATATATTTCTTCATTTATATACAATAAAGTATTGTATATAGTATTGTATACATTAGTATACAATACTTCATTTAAATACATTTTTATCCTGAGGAAGGAGAAGTTGCAGAATTCTGGCAGACTGCGCTTCTTACATTTGTTTTTAATCACACATGTGAAACTCACAGACCAAAAAAGGCACATGATGCTGTCCCTAGTTGTGAAAAACAAACCCCATGAGGAAATAGTTCTCAAACTGAAAAACACACACAATGTACTTGTACACAGTCAACAATGTTTTGTGAAAATCCAGGTTCTGTAGTCAAAACAAGGCACGGGTGCCTCTGAGCTGTGAGGAAGCCCTGTGTTTGGGCTAATCCCAATTTTCAGTCCTTGTTTTCAGGGCTGATAAGCCTTTCCCACCCCTGCCTGCCTGGGGAATGTGTCAGTGTTTGCCTTGGACTGCAGTGAGGAGTGGCTGGATTCAGCAGTGCTGGGTGCTGGACCCTGGATGGGTGTGAGCTGCACTTGTGGGGCTGCTGCATGTTTGTGCTGATTGCTGCTCAGCCCCGAGTTTCCTTGAGTTAAGGAAACCTGGACAGCAGGGAGCAGAGGGATAGGGCAAGGGGGAATGGCCCCCTTGTCTTTCTGTGCTCAGCTGGGAATGATGAAGGAATCTGCAGGCAGGTGATGGGTGATGGAAAATGATGGAGAAGCAGGACCCTCACAAGGAGGATCCCCCAGCACCTCCCATCACACAGAGTCTGCACTTCCTTCTGAAGCACAGCTTGTCTCTGTTAAACATCACTGTGAGCACACTGCCCTGCATGTGGCCTGCCTGAGCTCTCCTCCCTCACACAGCCCAGCCTCTGCCCAGGGGCTTTTCTGAGCCATTCAGGAACCCTGCTGATCACGGCAGGGGTCTGCACAGCAGCACAAACAAGTCTGGTTTGTGAGGGAGGAGGAGAAGGGGCCTGACAGATCCAATGTGAAATGCAAACCAGCCTTGGAAGGGTGAGATCTGAGGTACAAAGCAGCAAAGCTCTTTGTGCCAGTCCATGCTCTGGGCTCATGTTCAGGTGCAGGGAGGCCCTGCAGGGTGGTCCCACAGGTGTTGCCTTCAGTGAGAGGAAATTTTGAGGGTTCCTTGGGCTGAGGTGCTGAGCACAGCCCTCCTCAGAGAGGAGCTGCCCTGGTGACTGGGCTGTGACCTCATTCCTGCCCAGGAGCTGTCACTGCACTCACTGACACAGCTCAGGTGCCTGCTCAGCTCAGCCTGGCTGCTTTGCTTCCTCTGCTTGTCCACAGGGATTGTCCAGGCTGGGACAGATCCCCCTGGGTCTGAGCAGGGCAATATCACACTGCCGCTCGTGAAAACTTTGCAGGAACCTCTCAGGGGATCTTGAAGCTCTGAATTTCATCTTTCCCTTGTTGCTTTTTTGCACTGAAGCCCCAGCCTGGGCATGTTTGTGTTTTATTCTTTTTCTCCATGGATTTGTTTCTCCCCTTGCAGCAGCAATGTGAGTGTCAGTTGGCAATTACTATTTTTGGTGTTATTTGAGATCATACAGGCCTGGGGAGCAGCAGAACTGTCCCTGTCCCAGTGTCCCTGACACTGTCAAGGGGAAATAAATGCATTAAGTGACCAGAGCAGACTTCACCAGGAACTCTGTGTCACCAGGTGTTCTACCTGTTGCTGACACATCTTCAGCTTTTATTTTTTTTCAAAATCTTGTGACTTTTCACTGCAATCCCATGAGTAATAGTCTGATAACAATAGTGACAGAGTTAGTTTGACTCATATTGGGAAGATAAACATTAAAGTGCTGAAGTGACCTGAGAAGGCAAAGTGAGCACAGGGATCTGTGTGAGGATGACTGGTCTGGCAGGAGTTTCCTTTGTGCTGTAAAACTGGAATTAATTCCATTAGAGAGACCAGTTTGGTGACTTGGTGTGCTCTTCATTTTTCTCTTGGTGGCACAGCTGAGTTCAGCTGTCATCCAGGTGTGGGACCAGGGACAGGAATGGGACCTGAGCTGTGTGTATTGCTTAATTCAAGTGCTTTTAAGGTTCAAGACTTAGAGGGGAGTGTATTTGTCCTTGTACTCACGTTGTTTTCACTTGTTCCTAAGAATTGTTTTACCTTTCCCTCCTTTCTCTCAAGTTTTGGGTTGGCATTTCTGAGACAGTTTTAAGTGCTAGGTTTTATTCCTGAGTGACAATGATGGGCACAGGTCCCACCCAGGACAGCACAGCTGAGCTCATGTGCTTCATCTGCTTTTTATGTGACTTTAATATGCTGGTTTGTGACTTGTTCTTTTCAGTCTCATAAAGTCCTTTGCATTCCATTCTCATCCTTGTTGTTCTGAATAACATAGACTGATTAAATTAAGTGTTCATCTCTGTTTGACCCTGGTTTAGGGCTGTTTAGGAATGCACTGAACTGACAGCAACACAAAACTCCCCTACTGATCCCTTTCCACTGAATGTTCCTGTTTGCAAAGCAGGTTATAAGTCAAAGAAAAACACAATCAAGTTGGTTGAGATGTTTCATAGGGACTTTTTTCCAGCTGTGGGAAACTAATTTCACCTTCCTTTTTCTTGCCAGGCTGTGGTGACAGGAGCTGGGACCCCCATCCTGCAGTTTGTGGAGGACAGGATCCAGACCACCATGGTAAAGTGGAGCTGGAGTCAGCAGCTGGCTGAGGGCTGGGGGTGCATCCAGAGCAGCTTCTCCTGAGCTCTACAAGCTCTGCTGAGCCACTGCCAAACTCTGAGTGTTAGTTTCTTTGCTGTCACTGTGCATGAGGCAGGAATTAATTGCTGTGATTTAGAATCACAGCAGGGTTTGGGCTGAAAGGGAACCTAAACCCACCCAGCTCCATCCCCTACCATGGCAGGGACACCTCCCACTGTCCCAGGCTGCTCCAAGCCCTGTCCAGCCTGGCCTTGGGCACTGCCAGGGATCCAGGGGCAGCCACAGCTGCTCTGGGCACCAATCCTACCCTCAGAGGGGAGGATTTCCCAATATCCCATCCATCCCTCCCCTCCTCCATCTTAAGGCCATTCCCCCTTGTCCTGTCCCTCCATGCCCTCACACACCTCCTGTGCATTGAGTTGATCAGCTCCCAGATCTTTGGGAAGAAAAACATGGAATATTTTCCATCTGATCATAGGACTGGTCACTGGTGCAGTTTAAACTTCTTGCATATGAGATGTTTGAATTATAAATTCAGTATTCATGAACGTGCTTGGCTTTTAGACATCTCACTGTGCTGAGTGTTCTTCAGCCCTTCAAAAAGTATGTAGTAACTTCTGAAGTTGAAAATCATTAACTTCTTTCTCCCTAAATTTCCCTCCCAGCTGACTGGAATTGCAATTGGAGCTGCAGTTGCACTGTTGCTTATAGCAGTTGTTGTGTTTGTGGTGTACAGAAGAGTGAGACAGTCCAGTAAGTACTTGATAACCATGTAAGTTTTAAACCAGATTTTTCCATCAATCTTGAGTATTTTTGTAATTTTCTGTGGCAGTTC